CCTGTCTGTCCTCTCCTGGGCACACAGCACCACACTGAGGGACATAGGGGAAACCATGTGGCGAATGACTAAATGTGCTCGCAATCAAGAGTCCCTTTTTCATTCTTCTGGGCTCCCAAATCTGCTTGTCCCTTGGTTGTCACATAAAGCAAATGGCTTGACTTTAAGGCAACCCCTAACTGTTACGCTGATTGCCTTCACACCCTTTATCAGCCACCGCATCTATCTCAGCATAATCAACACCCCGGCCTATACCATGGCCTCCCCTGCCCTGGGACCATGCTAAATCCCTGCACAAATGGTCAGCCCTTTGTTCTTTGGTGCTTCTTCTTACTATCCTTTGAGGGCGCACTTCTGGGGAAGCATGAGCTCCGGCTTGAAAAGAGCAGAGGCAAAGTCAAATTCTGCCTTTTCCCTCCTGAGGCCAGAGCCCAGGTGGCCTAGTGGTTAGCCATTGGGCTGCTAATGGCAAGGTCAGCTGTCTGGAACTGCCAGCCACTCCTTGGGAGAAGATGGGGCTTTCGACTCCCACGAAGAGTTACTGTCTCGGAAGCTGACAGGGCCATATGAGCCGGCACTGACGTGAGGGCAGTGATTTAAGTCTATCGTTTTGCTTTGCGTTTCACTCAGGAGGCCATCCGGATTCAGCAGGAGCACTCTGGCCTCTGTTCAGGAGCCTGGTTTCACACAGGAGGTTTTTGTGTTGCCGGGATGCTGAAGAGGGTTCCGTGGAGCATCCAGACCAAGGCAGACTGACTACACCAACCTCAATCAGCCAGCCCAAACTCTATGGACCACATCCTATGGCAACTAATGCTGGGGATGGTGCAGTAGCCACCGTGGGCTCGCACGGCTCAGGGGCGGACTCAAAGGCAGTGAACACCAGGAAATTCAGTTGAGGAGACAAGACATTCAGAGGAAATAGATAAATAGTCAATCAAGACAGATTTTCATTAAGGACCTCTAACCTTGCTGGTGTTGTGGTTATACCTTGGGCTGCAATCTGCAAGATCAGCAGTTTGAAACCACCAGTCACTTCTAGGGAAGAAGATGAGGCTTTCTACTCCCGTAGCCTTAGTCTTGGAAGCTCTCAAGGGCAGTTCTACCTTGTCCTATGCGTTGCTATGAGTCGGCACAGACTCACTGGCAGTGAATTAGAAAATCAGAGATGATTGAGACCCCTGTGGCCCCAGAGGTCAGAGATTTGCAGCCTGTGCTGGAACTCGGGAGGAGGAAGGCTGGACTTGTTACCTGGTCCTGTTAGCTGCTGAGTAGTGCACAGAGTAGAATCACTCCAAAGGGCTTTCACGGCTCAGACTTTTTGGAAGAGGATTGCCAGAGATGTCCTCTGAGCACGTTTCAGACCCAAACGCACGGACAAGTCAACTCTGATGCACAGGGACCCTGCCAAGCTGCCACTTGGGGTTCCCAAAGCTCTAAATCTTTATGGGAGTAGAAAGCCTTGTCTTTCTTCCTTGGAGTGGCTGGCGGTTTCAAACTGCTACCCCTCCAGGCCTCCTCTGTGCACCTCCAGGTGGGTTCAAGTGGCCAACCCTTAGTTGAATGGTTGAGTGTTCACATCATCCAGGGATTCCTATTGGCTAACATACCAAAGTCCCACAAACTGGATGACTCAAAGTAACAGACACTATTGACTAATTTACTTCCCCGTTCGGGGGACTGGAGGCACAAATTCAAGGTGTCAGCAGGGCCAGGCTGCCTCAACAGGCAGTAGGGAAAGCTTCTCACCTATGTTTCCGTAGTCTGGTGATTCCCGGCAATGCTCGGTGCCCCTCGGTTCACAGACACATCGTTCCCAACTCCCAACTCAATCTTCACATGGCGCCTGTCTTCCCGTTGTGCCGTGTCCCTTGTCTTCTCGTAGAAGGACACCGATTCAGGCCTCGAGCTAACTACTCCCTTCTGGAAAGACCTGTTCCCCTAAGAAGGCCAGAGTCACAGCTACCAGGACTTGGGAGGGGAACGCATCTTTTTGAAGGACACACAGTTCAACCCACAGCACAGTGGCTGGCAGGGGGGCTTCTAGGCAGAGGAGTCTGCAGCTCGGGTGATCGAGGAGGAGAAAATGGAGACTAGCCTGGCAGGAAGCGGCAATTCTGACGGCTTTTCAGATGTGAAAGAATATGAATGGGAGTTGATGACAATGAGAAATCAGACTCAAACTCTGTGGGATGCACCTGCTTCCTTCTTGCCTGTCGATCTTGAGCATGCTGGGAGCTCAAGGGTCACTTGCTCTGGGAAGGGGTTTGAAACTTCTAAAGTGCCAACAGCAAAAGTAGCTCCAGGTTGCAGGTGTCCTCTGGCCTGGTTAGTAGTCAGGGATTCTAGCCTGTCACTGAATTTAGAGGTTGGATGGGACCGGGCTGTCTTCACTGGAAAGGCATGCATCAACTGCCTTTGGATGGGAGTGGTGGGCTGTCAGCCAGTGACTATTAAATGACAAGGACAGTTTATCCTCACTCAGGGAAAGGCACTTCATTTAGGTTTTCCACTTCTAGTCACAGCATTAAAAATAGAAGTAAAATAAAATGAAGGAAGTCGGAACTTCTCTTTGCCGAGTGCAGTACCAGTCCCTACCCTGATTGTTTCAACTGGCAGGACCATACCAAGAGGCTGCTGAGTAAAGAGGTGGTACCCATGAGAATGCCCTTCCCTCTCACACTGGGGACAGGCAGATATGACGAGGGGCTGTGAGCTAGTTGGCCAACCTAGGCAGGGCTGGAGGGAACGTTTGCTTAGAGCCTATGCGTGGCACTGCATCCATGCTATTGCACTTGGTCTGCACTATAGGACTGAAGGTATTCTTATTTCTAAGGGGTACACTGAGGCTGAGCAATAAGTAATGGGACAAGGTCATTTTGCACGTGGAGCTGACATTGTAAAAATTAATTTTAATAAGTCATTGTATAAATCATGTATACATCCATTGTATCAAGCACATTTATCTATATGTTGCCATTATCACTTCCAAAACATTTTCTTTCTAGTTGAGCCCTTGGTATCAGTTCCTGTTTTCCCCCCTCCCTCCCCTTGATAATTTATAAATTATTTTTATTTTCATATTTTACACTTTTTGCTGGCTCCCTTCCCCCACGTTTCTGACTGACTGGCTGCAGACGCAGGCATTCTCATTAGTCTCTCCTGTAGACAACCAACCACCTGCCATAGAGTCAGTCCTCACTCACAGCAACCCCTTATTTCCGTAGCTTGAAAATCCTTGTACTGGGGGCTCATGCAGCTCTTATCACAGTCCGCCTGTCCATCCATCCATCCATCCATCCATCCATCCATCCATCCATCCATCCATCCATCGTGTCAAGCACCTTTGTACACATGTTGCCATCATCATTCTCAAAACATTTTCTTTCTACTCGAGCTCTCGGTATCAGCTCATTTCCCCCCTCCCCCAGCCTCCCTCATGAACCCTTGATAATTTATAAATTATTATTATTACTTTCATGTCTTACACTGACCGCTGTCTCCCTTCACCCACTTTTCTGTTGTCTGTCTCCCAGGGAGGGGTTTATATACAGATCATTGTGATCGGTTTCCTCTTTCTCCCCCTACCATCCCCTTACCCTCCTGTTATCACTACTCTCATGATTTGTCCTGAGGGGTTTATCTGTCTTGGATTCCCTGTGTTTCCAGCTCTTATCTATACCCATGTACATGCTCTGGTCTAGTTGGATTTGTAAGATTAGAATGGGGGTGATGATAGTTGCAGGGGGGTGGGGTGGGCATTAAAGAATGAGAGGAAAGTTGTTTTATTGGTGCAGCAACCCTTTAAAGACAGGGTAGAACTGCCATGTGGGTTTCCAAGATTGGAACAGAGTGAGAAACTCATGGCTACAGTTTTTAAATATAACAGAAGATATTGGCCAGAACAGACCAACAGGAGGGTCCCCAGTGTGAAGCTTCCATGTCTTCTTCTAATGGAGTCCTGATCCCCACCTTTTAGGCACGTTGGGATATTTTCAATTCAGGGAAGCCTACCAGAGCTTTAAGTCTGGAGCTTTCATTGAGGTCTTACTACAAAGACCTGATGGATTGGAACATCAGCTATGTTATTTAACTCTGTCTCCAGCTCCCTCCTTCTCCTAAGGATAGGCTTCTGTCACCACACGGTGACTCTCTCAGGTACTACCAGCCCTTCCCTTGAGTCACTTCATCAGTACAGCTCTCACTGTGGTCTGGAGCCTCCAGGAATAACTAGGAAACATCAAGAGTTTAGAAGGTCTCTTCTAGGAATGAGAGACAACAACCCAATCTTTGGGTACAGTTAATGCTGCATCTCGGGAGGACCTCCTATAAGCCAGCCCTGTGCGAGGCCTAGGAGCCCTGGTAGAGTCATTGCTATGCATTGGGCTGCTAACCATAAGGCCAGCAGTTTGAAACCACAGCCACTCCAAGGGCAAAAGACAGGGCTTTCTACTTGTGTAAAGTGTTACAGTCTTGGAAACCCACAGGGGCAGTTCTACCCTATTCTACAGGATCTCTATGAGTCGGCATTGACTCAATGGCAGTGCGTTGGGTTTGGGGTTTTGGTGCAAGGTCTAAGAGGAGTCCCCTGTCTGCATGGTCACCACTGGCTCTCCTCCCTCCGGGGCACACATACGCGAAGATGCAGCTCACAGGCCTTGATTAGAAAAGGGGAGCACACAATAGGCTCCGCAGAGCCAACCAGGGCTGTCGCCCAATAACTATTTTGCATCAAGCACTAAGTGAAAATTGCTACAAGCGTTAAGTAAATGCAAGCAGGGCCAGGGTCTGGAGGTGGGTTCTGCTTTACCCTCTTGTGGGGTTGCCACATTTAGCCAATGAAAATAGAGGCCATCCAGTTAAATTGGAATGTTAGAGAAACAATGAGTAATATTTTAGGATAAGTAAGACCCATGCAATATTTGCCATATACTTAGGTGTAAAAGGTGATTTCTTGGCAGTGTACTGCCACAGCCACATTTCAATCGCGGGTTTGTCAGGCGGCGGAGTGAGCACCCTAAGTTGCCCCCGGCCTGGCAGCTCTATCTCAAGGGCCGCCGCATCTCTACGTTCAAGAACTGGCCTTTCTTAGAAGGCTGCTCCTGGACCCCGGAGCGGATGGCCAAGGCTGGCTTCATCCACTGCCCCGCAGAGAATGAGCCCGACCTGGCCCAGTGCTTCTTCTGCTCCAAGGAGCTGGAAGGTTGGGAGCCGCCGATGACCCCATTGAGGAACATAAAAAAGCATTCGTCTGGCTGCGCCTTCCTTTCGGTCAGGAAGCAGTTTGAAGAGTTGACCCTGAGTGAATTCTTGAAATTGGACAAAGAGTGAGCCAAGAACAAAATTGTGAAGGAGACCAGCAACAAGCAGAAGGATTTTGAAGAAAGTGCCAAGAAGCAGCTGGCCGCCCTGGAGTGACACTGTTCATCGTCCAGCCTCTGCCTGCCATGACCCCTAGCTCTCTGGGGCCCTGCCGCTGGGTGACTAGATTGAATGGCTTTTCTGTGTGGCTGGAGGACAGCCCACGGACCTGTACCACCTGCCCTGCCCTTTCTCGTCCCTTCTTTCCTTGTGGACTGGGCTGGCCTGAGGCCGGCTGCTGGTGTGAGGCCTGGGTCAGGAGGGGCCGCCTGATGGCACCCATGTAGCTGTGGCCTGCCGTCCCTCATGGCCAAGATGCTGGGTGTGGACACGCGCAGGGTTCCTGTGAGTGGACAAAGAATTCCAGTCTCCTTTTAAAACTCACCTGAGACTCCAGCCCCAGAGTGGGTCTGTCTTAGCTGTGTTCAGAGCACCTTGGCTCTCACTTGGCCTGACAGCATCTGCACAGGCCTTGGGCTTGCTGCCCACCTGTGTCTGTCAGCCCTCATCCTCTCTCCCCCTCCCTCCATGGGTGGCCATTCAAAGGTCTCCATCCTGCCTGCTGGGCCCCCCTGGCCCTTCGGATTACATGATTGTAAAGACCCACAAGTGCAGAAGGGTGTACTGAGTGGCAGGCTGGCACCCCTGGTGGGGGGAGAGCACCTTTCTCTGTGGGAGCCCTGGGGGAGGGCTGGGAGAAGCCGAGCAAAGCCCACCACTTGCTTGAGATCCCAGGAAAACATTCTGTGGGCACAGGGCAAAGTGGCCATGTTTATCTGTGACCAATGAGGTGGCTGCATGCCCAAGCTCACCCAGGAGTGGGCACCAGTGCCCCCAGGGCACTGCCCTGAGGGGTCTTGTAGCCTGGCATCACAAGCCTTGCTCATTGAGTCCTGCTGCCACCCCAGTGACGCATGTCAGGAAGCTGGTGCCCAGTGTCCCCACGCATGCATGGCTCTTCCCGATGGAGACAGTGGGATAAATCAATTAAAATGTCCTGAAAAAAAGAAAAAAGATTATTTCTTGTCGATGTGAAATCCGATGTAACTGAGTATCCTGAATTCTATCTGGCAGCCCTACACCCTTGCCACTTGTCCCTGCCACGATGCTGAGTGAAGGACATCTCAGTGCCCACTTGGGGACCTGGCCAGGCAATAGAAGCACCAAGAGGTGCTCAACGGCTTCTGTCACCTACAAGGAGTCCAAGTGGTCTCCACTCACTCATCCTCTAATGCTTGCTGCTTTGCACCATGGCCAGCAAGTCCCGTGGCTAGCTCCACAGCACCTGCTTCTAGGGGGGCTTCCTTCCTACTTTGTGCGGCTCTTGAGTACACCCTGTGCAGGGAAGGAGATCACAGGGACCCTCCACCTGCAGGGCCACGAACCTAAAACTCCCTGAGTTCCAGATGGGTGCATGTTCTTCTCCCCAAAGCCACACTTCCAGTCTGGCTTCTTGTCTTGGTGAATGGATTCCCCTGAGAACAGGGAAACCATGGCCATTCTTTCTGTCTAGAGACCCCCACAAGGATTCAGTAGCCACGTGCTATCTTCTCCTTCCCAGGCCTCCGCCTCCCATGCCCCTCCTCATCTCAGCCCCAACTGGAGTTCCAGTACGTGTGGCTCCTCACCCTCCCTCTCTGTCAGCCCCCATGGTGTCAGAGTGGTCTCTCAGCCTGGTCCAGACCTGCTGCTGTGCTCACTCATGTTCATGTCTCCATTGGCTCCCGATGTGTTTCAGAAGAGTGTTGGAATGTTAGCTTCGCATACAAGCCATTGATGATTTCCACACCCACTAACCCTATCTTTAGACTTTACTTCATCCCTCCTCCGTATCCCTTCCTTCCCCTATCTGCCCATGTGAACCCATGTCCACTTTTCTGGCCTTTATTTGTCCTTCAAAATTCAGCTCAATTGTCTTCTCATCCAGAAAGCCTTCCCCAGCTCAGAGATGATGTGAGCGTTCCTCTTGGTCCCTCCAGGGCCTCGGGAATGTGCGTCTCCATCACTGGTCACACTCAAATTGGCTTTGTATTCCAGTGTGTCTGATGCATGGTGGACACTCACTGCCACCAATCAATGCTGACTAACAGAGACCCTACAGGACAGGTAGAACTGCCCCAGGACAGGTAGACTGCTCCCGTGGGTTTTTAAGACTGTAGCTCTTTACAGGAGTAGAAAGCCTGTCTTTCTCCCTCTAAAAGGCTGCTGGTTTCAGACTGCTGACCTTGTAGCCAGCAGCCCAGCACGTAACCATTCTGCCAGCAGGACTTCTCTGACACCGGATGGATGGTCACTCAACGCATGCTATTGTTTATTGAACTAAAGAGGGAAATGAATAAATAAAACATTGAAAAGCTATTCACTTAAAAAAATAGTTTATTTTACCACAGTTTGAGTTCCCAAAGAGCCAGCTCAGGATTAAATGACTTCCCTTTTCCCACGGCTGTACAGGTGGCCCCCTCCTCTACTTCCTCCTCTCCCCTACTTCTGAGCAGGGCAGCAATACAGGCTCCCCCAGATTTTCCACCACTACCCACACCCTGCCTTCCCAGCTTCATGTCCTGGATTGGAGTTGCTCTCAGACCCTGAATGAATAGATCCAAATGTTATTAAAATTCCCAATGACTTTGACAGCTCTTGGGGGTTAATGAAGTAACCAATCTTGTGCCCCTGGAGATAGGAAATACCACTGTGACAGAGGTCGCAGTAGAAGTGAAATGAATTTTATGACCTCAATCTGGAAGCCTTTGCAGATGTTTTTCCACACTCCCAAAACTCGGAGTGACCTGTTCCTGTCGGCTGACTGTACCCAGGGGAGAGGAGAGGAGAGGCGAGGAGAGGAGAGGAAGGAGGAGGGGCAGGGGCACTGGGGTCTGGCTGGAAGGAGGAGGTGGCAGAGCCCAGTAGGAGCCCAGTGATGAAACACACAGTGGGAGCTCCTAGGGGGAGGACCAAGGGCCACCCCCATCCTGAGCATCTCCCTCCTCAGAGCACCCGGGGCAAGACGCTGAGTGAGTCCCGGGCCCACCACAATGGAGATGCTGCGAGGCAAGAAAGGTGAGAGGCAACAGTGTCTTTCCATTTTCCTGAGACTATCGGGTGAAAGGCGCCAGGTGCTGACCTCCCGACATACCTTGTCCTTCTCTTAGTTTGTCCGCTCGCCCAGCCCCTCTTCCTGCCATCTCCTCTCAGTCTCCACATGGCAGGGGGTAGAGCTTGCCCCTCCACCCACTCGGGTGACACCTTTCGGAACCCCCAGCTCAGCTAGTGACTGTTAATGTGAACACCTCAGAAATGTGGGTGAAGGGAGGCAACGCACAGTGTCAGACAAGAAGTAACCACAATAATATACAATTGATCAGGGATTCATGAGGGTGGGAGGGTGCGGGAAGGGGTGGAAAGAAAGAGGAGCTGATACCAAGGCTCAAGTAGAAAGAAAATGTTTTGGAAACGTTGATGGCAACATGTGTACAAGTGTGCTTCATACAATTGAAGGATGGATTGTTATACGATTTGTAAGAGACCCCCAATAAAGTGATTAATAAAAAAGAATCTTATTTAAAAGAGAAACCATTTAAGAAATAGTCATTTGAAAGTGGTTTAAAAAGTAAAACTAAATTTTTCTCAGAGGGGAAAAATACAAACACTCTTACAGAGCCTTTTTTCAAAAGCTGAGATAAAACTCAACTATGTAATTGCATGCCCTGTGACTGGACTACCTACAGTTGATCTTAAAAAACAACAAAAAAACCCACCTAACTGTTTTATCTCTGAACCTCGATACAGTGGTATTCAGGAGAGGGGGCACTGCGGTGTTGACCCCTGCATGGTTGCCCTATTGTAGGTGGGTAATGGATTCTGGATTCTGAGGGGGACTAGGAGTGGGATTAGACAAGCTCTGGGTCGGACATTGATTGGCTCGTTCAGCAAACTGTGCTAAACCTGTGCTTGGCAAAGTCCCTGCTCTCCTGACAGAGAGGAGAGGAATTCCAGAGGAAGTTGTAATGATCATAGTTACTCTGTTTCCTCTTTCTAATCCTTTCCCACCGTGATCACTTTTTAAAAATCAAATACTTTTATTGGGTGTTCTTACAGCTCTTATCACAATCCATCCATCCATCCATTGTGTCAAGCACATTTGTACATATGTTGCCATCATTCTTTTCAAAGCATTTCTTTCCACTTGAGCCCTTGATAGCAACTCCTCATTTTCCCTCCCTCCCCCACCCCCTTCCCTCATGAACCCTTGATAAATTATAGATTATTTTCATATTCCATCATGATCTCTTTAGCATTCACATCCCCTAGCGAGATAGTCATCATGTACTGCTAGGAGAATGTCGGGAAACTGAGGCAGGCACCATAGGAAAGAGGTGTATTTGACTAAGAGAGTACAGATGGGAGAGGAGACAGAAGTAGGATGCAGCGACTGTCAGGCAGGGATGTGAGGGGAGAGAGCTACTGATAAGTATCCCCTGAAGCATCTCAAGTATCAGCCGCTCTGAGTAGCCTTCCACACAGCGACTTCACACGCTGATTCTCGCACGCGCTTCACAGAGGGGCTGGCTCCTGGGGCAGGTCTCATTCAGTCCATCCTGGAGCCCCACGTGGGGGCGGGGTGGGGGGGCAGCCATCCCACAGAGGCGAGGCCCGGGGGTCAAGGAGGCCAGGTCCGCAGGCTTGGGATGGGATGAGCAGAACTGAGTCCAACGTTTGACCCCCTCTCTTGCCGTCGGTGTGAACTTGTGTGTCAGGTGTTTCTTTCCTCCTCGCTTGTTCACCTTCTCTGTTGAGCGGCCAAGCTCATTAGAGAGAATATGTGTACTGTTAGCGCGGCGCCTGTCACGGTAGGTGTTCTGTCAATGCTGATTACTACGCTTATTACATCTGTGTCCAATGCCAGTCCCTGGCTCCTTGGGAGATGGGGGCATCTGTGGTGGCCAGGAAGACGCTCACCTCCCAGAACCCAGTCAGTGAGTCTCAGACAGTCATGGCAACGCCAGGGTGCCCACCCTGCTGTGGAGGAGGGGAGCAGCCTACCTTGGATTTGTGGTGCA